AACCTTGACTGCATTGACCAAGTCAACATACGTGCCCAGTGTCATGTCCACTACGGCATTCCATATTGAGGATTTGATATCAAAGGTTGTGATCTTTATTACCTTGATCAGATTACGACCTTGTACGCTTTATATCCCTTCTGAAGGTCAAAGAGATGGCCACATTAACCATTAAACCAGCTCACATTCACACACAAGGACATATATTACTGTATAAGTAATAAGCCGTATACAATAACATTTTACATGCTGTAAGCTGTACTGTATGACACGTTCTGTCACGACTTTGAGATGTAGTTTCTCTCCCTATTCGGAGTTGGCAGTTAATGCTACAAGTAAGGGTGAAAAATGTCTCTGGGCCAAGTAACTTACTAGTATTCAAACTTTTTACTACCATTACTGTGTGGATGTCTTTTCACATAGCTGTTGAAGTTGTTACACTATCTTTCACACATACTGTGGTGATGAAGATTACGGTTGTTGGGTGTCGAGCGCATGGTCAGACGTTGCCATGTCATCACGTCCACAGCCTTGACCATGGGCAGTTTTGATGGATTGTTGCACATAATTTTGGCAATGTCCTCAGCCAGTAAAGGCCACGTGTCAAGTGTATCAGGTTGTAGAACTGATACAGTACACTGTCCTGGAGTAACAGCATCAGCAATTTTCCACTACATTTATGCTGCTATAAGACTTGTCTAATATAGGTCTCTTGCAATGAAGGGTTTTTGATGACTGAAACAGATGTGTGGGATTAAGATATATATGCTGTCACTGTTTCGTATTGCGCATTCCAAAAACCTTTAGAGTCTTGATATGTACCTCTTTGACCATAGTTAGTGTTGAATAAAACCTTTTTTCTGACTTCAATTTTTAGCATCATGTAAAAAGTACAGTGGTTGCTCTATTTCAAGAATTGCATACCCTCTTTGACATGAAGTATCAGTGTACAAAATAACCAAACAAATTCATCTCATATTTACTTCCTACTATTCAAACCATGGATATTCAAACAATAACGGATATAGACTTGTCTCAATAATTTTCTCATATACGATATAGTTTTCTCTTTTGTACAATTGGAAAGAGCAAAGTACATGTACTTAAACTTGTTGTGTAACTCTCATATATGTATCTGGTGGCTTTTGGTACCCGTAAGTCTGTTTAAGTCATCAAGTCAAGCCATAATCTACATGGATTTTTGTGTTCTGAAATATTTATTGGAGGTGTCCAGTATTCAAAGTTTTGTGAGCTTTCATATACTTATAAGGTGGCTTTCTGTATGTATGTTTAACTATAGGTCAAGCCAAAGTCAACATGGATTTTTACAGGTAGCTGCCAGCTGCCCATTCACTTCCACCATGACCTGGATCAACAGACCTGAGCCTGTGGGGTGATATTCTGGGACTGTCAGATCGGTGCAACTGTCCCACTATCTGTCCCTTGTTATGCTGGACATGCCTCAGTCTCAGGCTGGAATCTGTGGTAATGTCTCTGGTAACATACGATTGGGTTCACTGACCCTGTGTTGTGTACATGCTCATTAATAACTGGGAAATAATGACAGGAGTCAATCTGTAAATTACCCATATTTCATTAATTTTACAACTTATTATACGATTGTTACTTCCGTACTATAGGTTGAAACTGCAGATCTCTTCCTGTATGTCCAACAAGTGTCTTAAATTCCAACAGACTTTCAACACAAACAGGTAAATAGTAGACGATTTATGAGGATTGAAGGACATAGGGTCAAGGCAATTTGATATGAATGGAGATGACTGACAAAATTCTCTGTTCTTTGCTGTCTTGTGGTCTATCTCCCCGTTATAGAACATGAAACTTGAATGTGGATGTGAGTATATTTCAACAGCTTTGAGAGCACTGTCTGGTGGGCCTTACAGCAACTGGGTTGTGCACACAAAATGGCTGGTTGAGGTATGCAGAACAAAGTGTCATGTGTCGCATGATGGTCCCAGCCCCAGAGGGACTGTACATCCCCGACAGAACATACCTTATAACAGGGTCAACCTCCGGGGGTAACCCTGGGTCTCTATCCTCTGATCTTGCAGAAATATTTTGCCAGACAGTGTGAAATAGTTGTTACATACTAGGACAGATTACATTTAATCATTGGCAGGATTTAGAATGTTCATTAGTGCCCGGAAAACCTCAGTAAATATGTCTTTGAAAATTGAGAGAACATTCCGAAGCAGCTATGAATGTAAACCTATGCCAATGAACGCTTTAAAGGCACACTACATAGAATCTTAACTATCTCCCTTCACCTTTTTGGAGTTACATTATCATGGATCAACACGTGCTGCTCCTGGGTTACCAATATTCAAAAGCAAAGCTTACATAACACAGCAAGCTCCTACCAGGCCATTTCAACTGTTGCACAGTCATTTTGTTCTTGAGCTCTGCCAAGAAACCCGAAACTGATAATGAACCTCCTCTAAGATGATACTGAGACAAATCTGCATAGTTTCCTTACTGAGTGTCCATCATTCTTGACTTGTTTTGAACTTGAGCGTAAGACACAACATTCCCTGGCACCGCATTTCTTCGTGTCCAAGCACACAGACATGCACAACTGGCCTGGCTGCGTCAATGTCAAGGATAATCAGTCCAGTTTAACACATTAAGCCCTGATGGCGGCCACCCTGTACTAGACGTCACTTCTGCCACACGCCTGGACTAAACAAACACACCCAGCTTTCACCACAGGGATATACGGGGCTTTCGACCGGGCTCCTGACTAGGAGGCCACTCTGCGCAGGAGCAAAAGGTATTTTTGGCTCGAAAATTTAACAAACACACCAAAGCATCGTCATTTTCACTCATCAAAGACATCACAAATATACACAGTTCTCCCACTGTCAAGGACAAAATACCCAACTTGGGATATACAAATCTTTCAACTAACCTGTCATAAATAAATGCTGGCAAGTACTTGAAGTTTAATGTGCAATACAGCCTCGCCTTTATGTCATCACAGATATTCAGGAAGACTTGGGGCAACGGCAATGTTACATGTATCAGCAACATCAAAGAAAGTTCTAAGGCTTCTCAAGTCTTACAGATGCTGGAAGTCATGAGTAGATCAAACTGTTTCACGTCCATTTTAAGTCTCACCTTAAGTGCTGAAAGATGCACTACATGTACACATACTAGTCACAGAAAACAGAAAGTCACAGAAACAATCAAGTGTGGGCTGCAAATGCACCCAACAAGTCACTGACATTTGACTAAAATGTTTACAATTGGTGCACTTTTCGTCCATTAGTTCAAGCAGGGACAGTCACAACAGCAGAGGCAGAACCATTTAGTTTGCCACTTCTTACATCCTTTTGCAAATATGCTACGCATGGTATAGGTGTCTAACTGTCTATCGATGATGGTAAACAAAAATAAATTCTTGACCTGGGGTCAGCTGAAAGCAACAGTCAAATCAAATTTGTGAAAGACGCCCAAGTACAGTGCCCCCTCATGTTGGTTCTTCTCAGCAGAAGCTGGCAACAATAACATCACATGGAAATTTAAATACTTGTCTTCACAGAAATATTATGCAACCAACCCTGCAGTACCAATGCAATAGAAATACAGTACCAGCCATGCCCTTGCCTTATCAGGGAAGATGATAATCACTAAACTTGTTTTTCACTACAAGACCCCCTGTAGCTGGCTTTGAGCATTTGCAGTGGCAGTTCATAGTAAGATGTCATTGACTGGGGAATATCTTCCAGAAATAAAGACCCGAGGGAACTGACCTCTCAAACTTTCCTATGAACTTCAAATCTATCTAAGTCTCCAAACAGGCTCATCAAGAAATTTTTGTCCTGGTCATCGAGAGGGATGACATGGATCGTGACCAGTGACTTCTCAGACGGATTCTCCTGGCATCCTGGGCACGGAAAAATAAGGTCTACAAGCTTAAGGTCGTATGACACCCGAGGAGCTCATGGGAAATACTCCCCCGCCATAATCACTTTGGTACGACCCAGGATGATTGTTTAATGAGATTCAGAGCAGGTGAATGGTTTATTGGATCCCGTTCATGCCTACCCATGCTGGGACTGTAAACTCACAGATATAGGGGTGAAGGTATAGCACAACTTAAAAATTTCTCTAACAGAAGTTGTAAGTTCTATTTCTGCTCCTGATGGCCCACCTGTTACTGAGGTCACAGGTCACAGTAATGTGATGAGTCATATGCCATGTATGCTGTCATATTTCTACCAACCTAGGTTGCTATGAGATAGTATGACCACCCAGTGTTCTGGGGCTAAGGACCGGTGTAGGATACGTCCCCAGTGTCCAGGGTCATTGAGAGATATCGCCCCATCTCCCCCGCAAAGTAAACCTGCTGAAATTGCTTGTCAAAGTCACTCGGCATCATCCTTAATGGTTTTGCCACCATGCCCTTGACACTATTAGTCACGCCCAATTTGTGGCCTGCAGTCAACTTCTTTAGAGATTGCCTTGGAGCTTGATAGCATGTTGGGCAAAATGGCTTGAAGTTCCATTTTTCTATTGAAACTACAACACCTTGTTAACAATTTTTACACAATATGATAATCAGCTGTCATCATGTCAAGAAATTCCTGTTCAATATCCCATAGATACTGATTACATGCATACAGCATATTTTGGAACCCTGTAAACATGTCTTACGGTACTATGAAATGAAGAAAGGGTTTGTCTTTAGTTGGAATGAAGCATTATACATATGGTTAATAAGTCTGGCACAATGGACATACATGTACAATAAATCCATACTAATGACATCAAAATATTGACAAGTGGATAAAATGTTCCAGAAAATGAAAATCAACAGGTCTTGGAGGACGTTGCTGTAAATAACTGTCCTCATCCTTTGATTTTCTTTCTTGAACAGCCATGCATGACCCCATAGCTCTACAAATTTTGTGAATCATGTGATTTTGACCAGTTGTTTTAGTATTTAGTGTTATGCTACAGTAGTTTAGAGCTGTCACCTTTAGCGGTCATGATAACTCTCCATTTCTCCGCATATTTAGTCTTAGTCATCATGTCCATATCGTCATCATAATCAGGGTACTGCAGAAGAGCTGACGACAGTTTGGAGTAACAAACATGCATGGTAAGGTACATTACACGTGCAAAAGTAAAAAAAAAACATGAAAACAAATCTCTTAATCAAGCTTCACAGAGTTAGCGTTTTCGCCATCATGCCAAATGAAAACTGCCACAAAAATTTGGTGCAACAAACATGCATGGTAATGAACATTACACGTGCAAAGGGAAATAAAGGAAAAAGAAAGTTTTAATACAGCTCTGGTGCTAGTTCCTTTTTATTGTGCCAATCCATGCCAAATAACCATGTTGGAGTTGAATCATTTAGAAGTAACCTGAATTTAAATCATATACCAATGAGAATATTTTTCCTGTCATTAAGGGAATTTAATTGGCCAAGACAGCAAACAAGCAGAGCAGTCCTTTTTTCCCGATAAGTTTGAAAACTTCATATATGTACATGTACATTTCCCTCCAAATAGACAGGAACATAAGGCTGCTCCTTCCACATCCCTGTAGTTGTTTTGTTGTTGGAGACAGGTGGTGGACTAATTCTGTCCTATCACTTCAGAATCAGTCTTAGTTATCTGTTCTTTCTGTCTTAAAACTCATGTATTTAAGACACACTCTTCAAAGAAAAGGAAAGTTAGTGTATCTAAACATGACTGTAGGAATGGAAGAGTCATTGCTCAATCTTTTTTCAAGCCACAGAAGTAGAAGACTTTTTCTTATTTTGGTACTTCTCTTATCTTAGTTAACTATCTTTATATACACTTTGCTCACACCAGTTTTCAGTCCTTATACACAACTTACTCCTTCAGCTTTTTTGATCTACCACTTCTTAAGTTCTTAACCATGATAACTTATTGTCTTATTGTCTTGCATTTTGCACCTACCTTCCGTGTTTTTGCCTTTGGCCTCCAGTATGGACTCGCTGCTGAGTGTTGACTGTGGTTCAGCCTCCATGGCCACATCCCCCATGGCTCCCTCCAGCTTCAGATCACCGTCTGACCCGCAGACCTCCATCTCTGTCCCCATCCCCGAGGGGGCCATATTACCCTCCCCACCCCCCTGGGGAGTCGAGTTGCTCGGGTCCAACTCCAGAATTGTGGTGAGGTGTGGCCGTTCTGTTCCAGCTTGGTGGCTCAGTGGTTAGTACCTACACAAACAGACAAGAATGGAGAAAAATCATCAGTCAAACACTTTAGACTTCAGGCTATTAAGGTCTATTCAGTGCTAGTCTTGTAACTGGTATGGTACCTAAAGAAGTTATTGGAAGTGGAAGACAGACTTTTTCCACAAAACCCTTTTCCAGAAAGCTCAAAAGCTATTTTTTCTGCTTCCACATCAGATCCTGCAGAAGAAGTCTTCATGCATGTGACATCAACTTGGCATGGCTTCTAGAAGTAGAAAGCATCATATTAATTACCAAGCTTTTCTTTCTACTTCACCAATTATGATTGTTTATGTGCCTTTTGCACCTCAAGAACATTCCTTTCATTCAACACTTTCATAATCTTCAAGATTTAGCTGGAGCCACCATGTGTAGAAATGTCCCAGTTACTGCCTACATAAGGTGACAACTTGATAAAAATGTCATCCAAACATTTATCAATACCAAACATGGCTTTATGACATTCTAAAATAACAACATGACCTGGGATTAACCTTTTCTGATCCATAATTTTTTTCAGGAATCTTTGTCAGTTTATGGAAGACCCCAGTTTGAACTTTTGTACACCTGTAAGCTATGTCAAGGGAATACTTCAAAGGAATATAGACTTGACAATGACTCCCAAAAGACGTGGCAAAGGCAGTCAGCAAAAACAAACCCAGTAAAGTGTCTGTCTGTGTCCCCTGCCTAATTATCCCATTCATTCCATATTAACTTTTCAGAGGAAACCTTGGATACATATCTCTGAAGAAATATGTTTCTTCATTGTTATGTTACATAAGCAATACCATGTGTGCATAATACAATTGTAAACTGGGCAACAATACTATTAGGTAGTTCTACAATACAACCATGCCAACAGGAGAAAGAAGAAAGAAGAAAGCCAAGTTTAAAGTCACCCATCTTAAGAGCCTGGTAAAGGGTTTCTAAACAAACACAGGAGCAAAGGAGTTGTGTGGGTGTGTTCCTTCTAATGGGCTTATCACCTTGTCCAAAGCTAACATTTACAGATGGAGGTGTTAGATACAGGGTATGGGCAGGAGGGGAAAAAGGTTTCTGGCCAAACTTACATGTACATGGATCCTGTTACGGTTTGAAAATTTGTAATTACTGGATTTTTTGTTGTACCTGACCTGGGATAGGTCATAGGAATTAGAATCAGTTGAAGTTCTGTGAATTTATTACATTATTGTATCATTGCACCGAGTTTGATCATTTTATGGACAAACACAAATGAGCTTTCATCTAAAAACATTTGACTGTGAACCTCAGAACTATTTCCTTCAAGTTCAAGTGCTTTCTGGTCATGCCAAGGCGACAAGGAACACAAAGTGATCTTTATTGTTCTAGGCACCCGGCACCAGCGACTTTCTCCCCACAGGAAGTTATTTTTCCAGTTCTGACCGATAAGGTTGCCCCAGTCATCCCGGGCGGTATGTGGCACCCCTTAAGCTCCAGTCTTAGCCACGTGTCTCCCTACTTATCTCTGATATGGGCCAGTAAAACCCACCTGTTCCCTACTACTGCTCCTCTGTGGACAACCTATCTCCACAAGGTTTTCCTTGATTATGACCAGTTCCTGTACTAGTATAACTGCAGTTTTCACGTCGTATAAAATCCTGGTCATCACCAAAGAAATGGGCAGTTCCGTGAGTGTCCCTGTTTAATGCCCATGTGGATGAGAGGTATGCCAGGGGAGTGTAGAGAGCAGGGTCCAGGCATCCCACCAATTCTGGACACCACAATCAGATCTTGGCGCAGACTTCAGACTGATTTCTCCCGGGGCAGTGACATTTGACGTAGGCTGGCACGTGTACAGTCAACCACACGGCAATGGAACACGCTTTCACTGGAATCTCGGGACCAATACGCCGCACACTTCAACATTCCCCACAGCATCACAACCTATAATACACAACCACGGCCACTGACAGGTGCATTCTAGCCGCCCTGCCAACATGACTCAACTGTATATGTTTAACATTTTCAACATGTTATACAGTGGTATCAGTTACAGAGCACCAGATTTACCTATAAACTGTTCTGACGATATTTTCCTGTTCTAGGACAATTAGCTGGCTCCTACTTTACATTTATTATAAACACATGAGAGAAATCTGACAGGTAACTCCAACACAAGCAACAACTCTGTTGCAACAACTTCTGAACATCACTATAACCTCATTAACCTCGACAGATGGCAATGCCATGTGGCAGTGAACTTTCACTCATCAAGGCTAACTAGAATTAATCAAACTGTTAATCTCCCTTATGAGATATATCATTCAAAAGCAAAATTTTTGACTACGATGTCTGCACAGTGTTGGTTCAGTTGCTCCTTTACTGATAGCAGCAATTTCTTATGAAATATTTTAGTTGATGAGGGAAAACAGTTACATGCCAAGGAATTCCTGCTCATTTCTTCCATCAACACGACTCGTAAACACCTCTTCCATAAAATCAGCACTCATCTGTCAAGTTCAGCTGAACTCCCCCATTTGGCAACCCATGCCAGCCATACCCTTTTATTATTCACAAAGGAAATTGCAAAACTAAAATTTGTTGACTACTAAAGCTAGGATGAATCCAAACTTAGACAAAAAGATAAAAGGCCAGGATCAACTTGAACTTGATTCTGGTTTACTACATATTCTATCTAAGTTATCCATACTAGAATAGCTTGGTAGAAGTGCTCTTAAGTGTGGTCTTATAACCAACTTTGTGTTATCCAGTAACCCAAACTTAAGTTTTTTACCTTGTAACTTTTTATTCTTACTTACTTTGTAACTTTTTATTCTTGCTTACTTTGTAACTTTTTATTCTTGCTCAAGCTTACAGAACACAGTAGTTTCTACTGCATATTTTGGATGCATGTTGCTCACCGAGGCCTTGACATTAAATAAAAACTTCTATGTGCAGGAATGTCATTGACCCTGGTTAATACTTTCTACATGAGTCTACAATGAAATATGCTACCTTATGTTACAGCCGTGACTTGAAGGCACCGGTAGTAACTAAAAACGTTAATCCCTGATTAAACTTTTACATCCAGTCAAGTTATTTTTGTGCACATCCTGCCTTATACGTACTGAACATGAAATTGAAGTTTCTGGTCCTATGCAAACATGACAAAAACAGATTTTTCACACTTTTACATCAAGACTGTGAATAACAATAAGTGAAGCACAGTCGACTCTCATCTGTCACACGTTGTTCCAATATGTTCTTGTATCGCTAATTAGCAAACTCGCGTATAACCAGACCCACAGGAACAGCTAGAGGACCCTGGCTTTCCGCATAAAACCTCAGCTAGGGAAGTAAAATCGTACCTGGGGACGTTCAAGTTCGCTCCGACCAGGCCAGGCTGAGTGACAACAACGTGCCAGCCCCACTTCTGCAGGCGTGCAGAGTGATGCTGGAACGAGTGCCAACAGATGTCTTCATCATGCAGTAAGACATTCATGGTTGGCAGTAAAAACAACATTACACGGCTACAGTTGTGGTTCGTTTACCCCAAGGCGTGGCTAAATAGGTACATTAGTACTACCTGTTTGGAGGCTGAGGAAGGATAAAAACAAGATGAAGTTAAGGAGGTATAGGAATAAAATTTCTCAGTAGCATAGAGTATTATCATTCAACTACTGAGAGTCTCTGGACCAATAATCACTCCTAGAAGCATGGCTGTGTGTTACACAATTCGGAAGCATACGACCTACTTACATGGCAAACAGATGTACAACCACTGGCCTTAATCTGAAAACTATCTTGATCCCAACAAGTCCAAAATCAAAACAAGCCCAATACTTCCCTCAGATAACTTTGTGTTGCCTAATTCTCCAGGATTACCAACTTCCTGCTTCTCTGGTTGGCTAATTTTCCTCTTCGTTAATCTTATACTAACAAATAATCAGGTTTATTCTTTGATCAATGCTCTTTTCATTATCCAATCAATGTACTCTTGCTCCTCCTGATGTATCTAAGAATGAAAACCAAGTAAAGAATCCCTGGCAGTAGACATCACATAGATGGAAATGCCAGGGAGTGATCTACAAATCTGCAAAAATGTAAACTTTGGTTCTCTATCTTCAACTTGGAGCTTAAACCTAACCCTTCTCTTGAGATGATATGAAACTTTGTTGAAGGAAGTTATTGCCTTAAAGCTACGTTGCCTGAGAAAGTAATCAGATTTTTGCTGGTCTCCGGCAGATATCATGGACCTTCTAAGTCTCTGATGACTAAATTGTTTTCTTTGTGATAACTTTGTTGAAACAGTTTTAGTCCAGGGGCATACATGAAAGACCGGTGGCACGCTTCCAGAATTTACTTGTCATATGATCCATATTATATAACAAAAACAACTTTCTGTCAAGACTAATTTCCCACTTAGGAGAGTGAATATGACTGAATCTTACATAGATTATATGGACTGATTACCTTCATGCATTCTTACATTTATCATGAAATGACATCGCTGTGTTCTGTCTCATTACTTCCTGATGTTGTTGTTTCCAGGAATACAGCAATAGGCAGAGACATACCCACTAATTTCTATCTGAAACTATTAAACCTCATATTACTTCATCACTTCAAATAAGTAAGTTTAGTTACTACATTATACAGGTGAGTTTCTGCTTTACATTTTGTATCACAGGGTTTTTCTCATTATTTACATCTTGCAGGAAATACTTCTTAGCACCGACCTGATAACCTACAAAATTACATTACACATGAGGAGTTGAGCTACAGCTTACGGAGATTAAGCACTAGAGCCTGTTGGCTCAGGATTCTCCTGCATGTAGTGATACATGTAGTTCCTTGAAGAGGAATAAATCACTTCCAGACTTCTTCCCTGGTACCTTTTGCCCAGTTAATCCTTGCGAGGAGACACCAAGTATTTTGAAAAGCCCACAAGATCAGAGGATGAGTGGGGTGCTAATAGATTTATTTTTAAGTCATGTCCCAGTTTGTTGGACAACAGTAAGGAA